TGTCAAACCAAACAAGAATTGTTTATATCTATACACATGGATTCTATATATCATTCATCAATTCATGATCATCATGATAATCTTGATACAGGTACTGTAGTAGCTATTACAAAGAGCAAGCTGATCCAATTAAGATCTGCGATTGGTGTCAGTGTGAAGCTAGGAATCGAACCGGAGCAAAGCACGGTTTAAACGGTGGATCGTCTAAGAGATCTTACCGGTCGGAATATTCTTCAGCTCACCAGATCAAACAACAAGAGGTTAACAAAATTACTACAAGTAGTAGTATCCCTCCAGTAACCGACAAGGGTAAAACTGGTGTGCCTTCTCCTAGACCGGCTACTCGCAGGTACAAGCTTCTCAAGGATGTCATGTGTTAGTAATGTTCTCGAAATAACCAAAAAGTTATAAGAGATTTTAGAGAGTTAACTAGGATGTGGAAATAATAAGACACATGTATGTAAGATATAATTAGCTAGGGCTACTTTAGATGGTGTTATGAGTGTGAGAAGCAATGTAATTTACCTGCGGAGTTATGTCATGGAATGATGTTAGTGAGTGTTTTGAAATAAATTTATCTTTATAACAAACGAATTATTTTGGGGATGGAATGATTGGTTTTAGATTAGCGATGAGATTTGTGTATTTTGTTTGTGATCCCCTTGGCATTTGATGATACTATTCTCTCGTCATTATTCAGAAGCCACGTAGTTAACAATCATTTCTACATTATTTTCTAGTGTTGATAACGATTCGTTGGTTTCTGGTTTCATCTAAAGACTACGGATAAATCTACGTTTGAGCCAATATAGTCTAATATTAGATTGAGTGTTCGATATGGAAAACATGTTCCGAAGATTGATAGTTTTGGTTATATGTTGTAAATAATCTGATCATAATCGAAGAAAACAAGATAACTCGAGGGTTTTCCTCATATGTCACCAAATCCATCGATTTAGTCTTTCCTATAGTTTTAAGATGTGTGTTAAAACGATCTAGTTCCTATAAAGACACGTAAGAAGACTTCTTACATATAAGTACATGATTTATATACCATGTGTGGCTATAGTGAATGGGCTATCTGTTAGTTGCAAACGTTATTAGCAAAAATAAATTTTAATGATCAGCAAATCGATATATTCACCATCCTCACACAAATATAAAAATATCAACAGAAATAGTTGTTGTATAAGACTAGTAGAAAAGTACAATCAATAGTTTTGTTGAAAAATAAACTATTATAACCACTACAAAATTTATATATAAACAAACTGTCGATAAATGTTTTTATCAGGATATCAATTTGACATCTCTAATTGTAACGTATAGCATATCAAAATTTACTGAATATTCGACCATTAGAAATTCGCATGGCGATTGCTTTGCATAAACTTGACAAAGATGTGGCTCAGGCATCAATCTTCCATATATGGAAACAAAGAAAAAACGTTTTGCATAACAGTGAGTTCCTCGACCCTACAACCATCTTCAAAAAATTTGATAGTAAGATTCGCAACACCATACACCGAAAGCGGTGGCGGGACTTTATGATACTATGGATCCGATGACATCTCTGAAATATTTTCCAAATCTATTGTAACTTTGTTTTAATTTTTTTTTGTCAAAGTTACCTTAACTAAGGTATAACATGTTTAACATGTGTAATGCCTAAACTTTTCATTCTAATGATATTTACTATTTAGCAACC